TACTTCAATCACGATGTCAATAGGCGGACTCGTTAACGGCTTAGACACCGGCTCTATCGGAGCTATCGTGTCAATGAAACAATTCGAAAAGAGCATAGGTCATCTTTCACCCTCATTATTGGGTTTCACGGTCTCACTGATCATGCTTACCGGTGGTATACCATCTGTGTTTGCGGGGTACTTGGCTGATCGATTTGGACGACTTCATGTTATTTTGGTGGGAGCTGTGCTTTTCGTCCTTGGAGCTATAGTACAAGGAGCTGCCAGAGGACTAATCACGCTTTTGATTGGAAGAGCTTTGGGTGGTTTTGGTGAAGGGATTTATTTGAGCAATATGGGCGTGTACATCTGTGAGATTGCTCCCGTCAAGAGGAGAGGTATGCTAGCAGGATTGCCTCAGTTCATGTCAACCGCGGGAGTCTGTATTGGTTATTTCATTTGCTATGGCACTGTCCATATCGACTCCAGTATGGCTTGGAGGATACCGTATGTCTTCCAAGCGGTTCTCGGCGCTGGTTTAGCAATTGGAACACTAGTTCTACCTGAATCGCCCCGGTGGCTTATTCTGCACGGTAAAAGGACCATTGCAGTACGAGCGCTTGATCGATTGGATATACCCATGGCAGAAGCTGAGAAGGACATTCTTGGTGTGGCTCAGACTGGTCCAAGTCTATCAGCCTGGCAAAGTTTCACACTACTCTTCCGCAAAGGCTACAGAATAAGGACTATGTTGGCTTTGTTCATTCTTGGAATGATACAATTGTCCGGGATTGACGGTGTACTTTATGTAAGTTCCCGTTACGACCGAAATATCTTCACTCATTGTTCTGACTTTGCATTCCCAAGTATGCTCCTACCCTTTTCAGTCAGGCTGGGCTGCACGGCGCAACAGCATCATTCTTAGCTTCCGGGCTGTCCGCGATTCTGATGCTTACCATATCCATTCCTGCCTTCTTGCTTGCTGATAAATGGGGCCGGCGAGCTTCGGCCATTAGTGGTGGGCTGATTCTTTCAGCCTGTATGCTTTTGATCGGGACGCTTTACGCTGCTGGCGCTGTTCATTCCTACGGAGTTGCCCGTTGGGTTGTAATAGTGTCTGTTTTCGTCTTCGGGTTGGCCTATTCATCCACATGGGGCATCGTCGGGAAGATCTATGCATCTGAAATTCAGCCAGCCCACACCAGAGCTGCTGCTAATTGCGTTGCTCAAGGTTTGGGCTTCGTGAGTATTCATGTCTCTATGGTGAGAGGAGCAATTGCTAATACCGTGTAGTTTATGAACTGGGTTGTTGCCATAATCACCCCGATCTTCCTCGCCAAGTCGGCATTTGGAGCTTACTTTTTGTTTGGTTTCCTTGCACTAGGTACTGTCGCTGTATTGGCAGCGACCATGCCAGAAACGAGAGGTCGCTCCCTGGAAAATATTCAAGAGGCGTTTCAGACACCATTTATGAACAGCTGGTCTCATCTTTTGAGGCGATGGGTAGCAAGAGATGCTAACAGGAATTCTTCTCGTCATTCTAGCATCGAAGGGTATGAGCTGGAAAGTGTTCGTACAGATGGTGTAAACACGTCTTCGTCTATAGAGACAAGACACGCCATGAGGGTTGAGTTCAAATAAGCCTCCATGCCAACAATAACAACGAGGTGAAAGTGGTTTGTGGAATTGGGAAAGGAAAAGGAATAAGCAGAAAGAGAAAGGGAAAGAGACGCCATGTCCTGAAGTCTGGAATCCTGACATTTTTTCTCTTGAATCAGAGCTGACACTAGCTCTTTCAATCATATGTATGCGAATTAGGTGACAGACTTGTTGTACTTTACCGCACCCCCAGCTGATCTCACTGACCACGAGACCTCATGACCTGTTCTAGTTGCTGTTTCATCACTGGCTTAGGTTTTTATCCGCGATTCTCTTGGCATCGTCTTTCCTCACGCATCTCACCAGCCACTCTACACCATACCACAAAAGAAATTCTCGCATCCTCTAGAATTTGCTTCCCGGGGCAAAGTTGAAAGGCTCATTCTCAGTCTTCGGAAACTCGGGATAATCTCTCCCAGTCTTCTTAGCCACAGAGAACTGCGCCATATACATGTTCCGTCGCATCGCTCTCTTGTTGAAAAGATACCCAAGCTCCTGTCCCCTCACCGTCTTCCCTGGAATTGTTATCTCGCCCCATTTCTCGTCCGTCTCAAGGAATTCGAAACCCATTCTCTCCGATACATTTACCACTTCTTCCAACGACATTTGCAATTGCGGACTCGTGCCGTAGAGTAAAGGTCCCATGTTGATCCAGAATCCACCAGGTTTCAAAAGACGATTAATGTTGTCTAGGTACTCCAAGGTATTCTTGCCCGTGTCGATGAAGAACAGGGTTACCACCACATCGTAATGTGCAGTCTGATTTTCGAATACGGTCATAAAATCTCCTTCGACATGCAGCACAGAAGATGCGTTGACGGCGATGTCCGGAATAATGACTTTGTGTTCGTGTTCTTCAGGAGTAGGCTGATGAGACCACCAGTCGATATATGGGTGCCAGCTGACTGAATTTGGTACAGTCAATGTCTCCATATATCGGTACACAACATTCATATACTGGGACCATTCGTTGCTCGTGACTTCCACGTAGCCTAGTCGGGCCATGTCGTGAGGAAGACGTCCAACGCCGATTCCGGGTTGCAGTATCCGGACTGGACCTTCTTTGCGGGTGCTTCGGTCAGGGAAATGCTCTTTGATGGTTTCCAGGATGGGCGCAAAGGTTGGCACTCGCTCATGTAAGCCGTCAGTGGACCAATCTCGCGCGAGGTGATTGATTGCATCAGAAACTGCAGCTTGGTTGTCCCATTGTTCAATGGATTCGGCCTCATTAATATAGCCATCAAGTTCATGTTGCGGTATGTGGTAGAAAGAGAGAGCATGTTTAACGATTTCTTCACTCATTTTCCCATTAATCTCCCAGAGTTTCATCAATCTGTCAAATTTCTTATGATAGGTTGTTGCGGACTCAAGCACCTAGCAAGAGTATGAATAAGTTCATAAGGTTAGACTCAAGATCTGCTTACCTTCCGCTGTGCTTCGGGTAGGCTTTCGTAAGCTTCCCTCCACTCCTGTACTTGGGCTTGGTATCGTTCTTGATATCGAACAAATCCATGCAAAGCCTGCAGCATTCGATAACGCGGGTGAGTGACACTCCAATTCTCTTCCGATTTCTCATAAGATTGAATCAATCTCTTCTTCTCCGCGACGTGTCGAGCACTCGAGGCTTCCACAAATCCCATGTACTCCACATGATCAAGGGTCTGGTCCAAACCAGGATTTAGTGGAACTTGTGCCTCATCGGCAGCTGCTTCAAACCCTTGGGAAACACAAAAGTCAAAAGAGTTTAGGAGAAGAAATGTGCGGAGACATTTACGCAATCCAGTCCGAAATAGCATCGTGAGAGAGCTTGTGATACCTATTCCACGATCCGAGAGACAATGTACACATTTGGAAAAGAGAACCTGGGGAAACCGTGGTCCTTAGGATCTTTCCCTCTTGGCACCAATCAATCTGTTGATCCACAGGTAGAGCACCTGTTTATACTTGGGTTCATGCCTGGTTTCAGATGAATTGAGGATCACGTGACCGACTCCACCTCCTTTCCGTTCCCCGAATGCTTCTAGCCTTGAGTAAGGCTGTTAAGTGACTGATTTTCAATTTGAAGACTAGGATCTTCTGGTTCAGTTGAAGTAGCAGAGTTAGCCATAGTGCCCTTGAATTTGATTGTAAGCGCATTCTTCCATGTTTCGTATCAAGCATCTCAGCCTAGCCGCTCAAGGCTGTCATTTTAGCGTAACAACCAGAACTAGTCATACGCTAACAACGAAATAAATTTCAGTTCCGTCCCTTGAATCCCCATGGTCCTCTAGACTTCTCCCGATCGTCCGGATTGTAGCCCGGACTTTGACTCTCAATAACTCTATCCTCCGTCGCTGCAACCAATTTCCTACTCCAAGCTGCATCCAACTTCCCATTGTAGACTCCCCAAAGTAGCGGTAACACCTCCACATCCAAAGCACAGTAGTCCACTAGCAACTTCTGCATCGGTCTTTCATTAAAGACTTCATACCTCCCTCCCTGTTCTGGCGCGAAAAGTGCACGACCTGTTTTCTTGACATTTCCGCACACCACCTTCCTTGCTTGCGAAAGAGGCGCGTCAGATTGAATACATTTCGCGAGACCGCAGACGAAGGTTTTGTTCCCGCGTCGAGCTGCTAGTTCTATGAGTTGTACGTCGTGGACGCCTTTTAAGTCGATGTTGTAGTGCGTGAACAAGGCGTCTGAATCGTTACGGACATCGAAAAATACTTTTGGAATGGTTGCGGATTCCAAGATGCTTTTTATAGAAATGGCAGTATTGTCCTTGGTTGGAATGGTAGCAGTTTCGACGGGAGAAGGGACATTGTCTGCAGTTTTAGAGACAGTTGAAAATGCTGCAGCGCCTAGGGTATGGATATCAATCAAGTATGTCTTTTTGGCCGTAGATATGTGGAAAGTGAGAATTGAGACGGAGCCGTACCGCGAAAGCTTGACACCCTCTAGATCTAAATACAACGATGGAGGACTGGTCGGTAAATCTTTGATGGTACAGAGCATTTGCTGAAGAGCGGAGATCGTGTCGATGAATGTTACCGTTGTAGAAGACATCTTAATTCGAAGGAGGAGAACGATACAATGACCAAAAGTAAAGGCGGAGGAGAACATGTTTAATAGTAGTATGAGAAATGTTTGATCAAACACCAGAGAGTACGAGTGTAGCGAAGATGATAGAGGCACATTCTGGACAATACCTGCCGTCTTCATAATTCTTGATGGCCCTCTCTTTGACTGAATTTGTAGAGGGAGGATAGCTTGAAGGCCTCACCAAGCCGCTCATAGCCTTTAGACCTTCCACTAACCCTACGCCCCCTTTCACCTTTCTGTACATATACCAACCCGGCCTCACCGTCACCAAATCAGTTGTCCGGATGGTCTAGTGGTACGATTCCTGCTTAGGGATGCTCGACATCGTGAAATGCAGGCGGTCCCGCGTTCGAATCGCGGTTCGGACCTTTATCTTTCTTTTTTGGCATGTCAAAAGAGTGTTTGCTAAACCTCAGAGGCAGGCGTGTCCAGTCATGTGACCCATGGTGAGGCTGAGGTGAAGGGCAACTTATACACAGCTGGCGCTGTGTGGTGAAGCACCAAACTTATGCACGTCAGAGTGCCCAATTGATGTGCTCTCTTAACAAGGAGCGAATTTTGGCTACCTCGGTGCTAAAGCCGTCTGATGGTACTCTCCCCCTCGCAAGCCGAGATCCGCGATGTGATTCGTTTGTAATTCACCTATCATCAATGGGTTGTGCATGCATACCAGTCGCCAATAAAGATCGTAAACAGCATGACGAACTGTTGATTGCTTCACGATTGATGCAAGACCGTTCACCCGCTATGCCACCACATGGTGACACGAATGAAAAATAGCGGGATCCGCAGCACTCCCATGCTAATTAGACAATGGAATTTTCTTCCGAAGAATCCGATCGCGCAGTAGGTACGAGTAAGTGCGTTGTGGCAAAAAGGAATCCTGGTCGCTGGGTCTTATTTGTGCTAGCTCTTAGCTTGAGAGGCCGCCTAGCAAGGGGTTTGGTTGACAAGGATGGATAACGTGCAAACAAATCAGAAAAATGTCGCAGAGGATGATTGTTTGCCACGATATATTGTACCAAGATACGATGCTGCGTCCGGAGTGATGATAAAAGATCGCCGCCAAGTATTGCGAAGTGGTTTTTTCCTGCTCACCGCTGTCATGGCCGCATCGCCGCAGCTACTTTTTACGGTAAAGCTGCAGAAACAGACCCAGCGCAAGTCGTTGAATTGAGAATGGATGATGTCCAACTACTCGCTCGGTAGCGAAGGATCCACAGATGGGCAGCAGAGCGACTCGTCCGTGCTGTTAATCCCGACGGGAGCTCAGAGAAGTAAATACGATATGGATCACGTTGTGATGGCGCACAATTCTATATCTCTATGATTGGCTGAGGGTTGAACAGCACCTCATGTCGAAGTGTATTCATAATCCGTACGCCTTCTAGAATTTATGTGGCCAAGCTCGATTTCGCCAAGGCTCCTGAGGTGACATTCGAAGCTGATGCAACGTCGTGTAGTAGGGTTAAACCGCTTTGCACCGTACAGATATTTATTAAGTCGAATCGGAAGCACATCCGTCGTTTGTTATCACATTGTTCTTGACTCGGTCGGTTTAAACTCAGCGTAGCCCTTTTGCGCTGAAAGCTATGAAAAAGTTAGCACTACATCTCGCACGGGACCCCGTAGCTTCTGTGTCATTATAGAGGTTTCGTTTGGTGATAAGGAAGAATCGAGAACATGGGCCCCTCGGAATTATGGTGGGGATGGCAGGATTGTGTGCACATCGTTACTGCGCATCGCGCAGTCAACCTTGCCAATATTCCTTGCATTCATAGCGTGAAGTGCCATTACTCGGATGTTAATCTGCCCATTTTCCGTTGCGTGAAGTATTAGGGAATTCTGTGGGTCAGCCTTGCGCTACCGCGATTCAAGTTTTCCAGGGCTGATTTCGACCACAATGAAGCAGAGATTCTGTTGATTTAGTAATCTTGGTATTGAAGCAGGTTGTCATTTTGATGTCAGATACAACTGCATGCGCCGAGACGGCCAGCGGTAAGATCGGAATACACTGCCACCACAGCCACTATGGCCTAGCACTACTGTGTAAGTAGGTGGCTTGTAGGTGATTGGTTGAGTTTTTCTCACTGCTGGTACTAAGCATTCTTGAGAGCAAAGCCAACCTTGGGATCTCTGTGCTGAAACTCCCCTTGAGTTCTTGTGGTGCTAATTTGCGGTGAAGAGATTTCGTCGGTTTATGGGGTGAATGGACGCCTTGACGCTCCGCAGAGGGAAAAAATCTCTAGAAAAACATGCTACCCCCACACCTGTGGCATGACTCGGAAGTGGTAAGGTAATTGGGCCGGGGCAGTAGTGGTCACTCCGCCTCACCTTCCTTGCGGTCTTTACCAAATCAGTGGCTAAAGCCGAATGAGACGGCATTTGAGGCTCTAATCATCCAAAAAGAGCGGCCTAAGCTGCACTCATACCAGAAGAGCTCGTGCAGGGTTGAATATCCTGGGGACTAGCGTAGTGCTCGTATACGGATAGGTTAAGACGTTTGAAAGCCATATATCAGTCGCCCCTCTGTCGATCGAATTTCCCTAGAATCAGCATATCTTCCCAGTATGTAATCATGGCTACTATTACTTGGGGTAGGTGATAATCCGAGTTCATATTCCTGGTCTTAATTGTTATGAAGGGATTATCGTGTAAAACGCCACTTACCGATTTTCATGCAGCAAGTAAAGCCATGGACATGCAATCCCCAGAGTTGTCCAGCTCGAAACACCACGAAAGTTTTAAAACATCCAACAGTGCTCATAAAGGAAAAGGCGATAATGCGGCAGCTCCACCATATCCCGGCCAATTTAAGAAACCAAACTGTCGCGATCCGCAATGCCTAGAGTCAATTCGACAAATCTCTGTCCAACAAGGTCCACCAGTGAAGGCGCTCGTCTCACAGAAGTCCAACTCTTCAATCCAAACCGACCAGAGCTCACAGCGCTCCGAAAATTTCATCCATGGGCCCTGTGAGGAGGGTATTCATCTCTGGAAAGATGCTTTACAACATTTGCGAGACTCAGGAGATGGAGATCAACCCATGACAGAGTCCGCTCGGCGTCAATATTGCCTTGCACATGGAGACTCTAGCTTCGAAGATTTCTTTAGAGGCTATTTTAATTATCCTCAGACGATTAACACACATTCATCTGGTAGTATCTGTACGAACTCTCTCAGCCGACCAGCTACTGCGAGCACCAAGAAGACCGGCCAGAGTCCGAGTGTGCAAGACTTGGGATCGAACGAAATCTGTCCGCTGCCCAGCAACACAGCTGCACCAGACCGAACCACCACCTACAACACTGGCTCGAGTGGACAAGATGTCGAATCCGCATTTACCGATGGCTACCACAAGGGGATATTCGATAGCAGAGGCAAAAAACAAACATCGCCTATGCGACGTGCTGCGCAACGCACGATTATCATCATCTCCGTAATGGCGGCAATTATGGCGCTGATCGAGCTTGCCTTGCTCGTGGGATTCCACCACTCCAAAAGAGAGATGCGCACGGGCTTCACTGCGGGAGTCGTCGTAATCTGGTTTTGCATTGGGGTTGGCATGAAAGCTGGGGGCCATGACTTGGTGAAAATCTTTATCGCTATGACGATGGAGCTTGTGTTGGGTCTATTCTTGTCTGCTCAGTTGGACGTTTTGACGGGTCTGAACACTCAAAGATGATTGTTCAACGTGTTTAGGATTTCCATCTTCAAGCTTCCAAAATAACTTTTTCTAATAAAGAGCCGAAAAACATTGGATTGAATTTATGGGCGGATGAGCTTGATCATAGACTATAGATGTTTAAGAATTAGGAGTGTTGGAAATGTCGTCTTCCACCTCGGGTGAGCTTTGGCGTTTATGGATCATGAGTTCGGTGTTTCCCTTGTTGATGATAGCTGTTCCGAAACAGACGAAGGCGTAGGAAAGTTATCTTATAAGAAACTAAATTCGGCCCCATTAAAAACATCGTGATCGTGCTTTCGACTAAACAGTATTAGCGTCTGGCGTTCCTGCATCCACAAACGCCTCCCGTCGATGGGCGGTACTGATCCTGGTCTTCAATCCAGGAAATCCTACAACTTCGCAAAACGCACTGTACAACCCAGCTGTCACCCTTCAATCTCTTGTTGGAGAAGAGGTTGTTACTGTCTTTACCAAATATACGGTGTCTCTCCATCTGATACTGTCGCCTTTCGGCGCTCCCTCACAACAATGCGCCTCTTCCCCCTTTCCCTCCTCGCCGCTATCGTCCCAACTATCCTCGCCGATGTCCAATTCACAAGTCCTGCCCCAGGTTCTTCGTTTACGGGGGGAGGTTCAATTAAAATAGCATGGAAAGACTCTGGAGATGCGCCTTCGATATCAGATCTGGCGACATATCAATTATTCCTATGCGCTGGCGGAAACGAAGAGGCCAGCATTGTATGTTCCACTGCGTCAATGCAGACGAGAAGAGTGTGCGCTGTGCCCAGCAAGATGGTACTGACAGGCTTTACAGGTCCAATTATACCCCATCACAGACCGGGGGATATTCGCGAATGGTAACAAGGCTGAGGGAACTATACCGGTGGGCATTGGAGCCAGTACTCCCAAGAATGCGTAGTATGTGCCGCCCAAGTTCTTTTACCTACGTCTTGAATACACAAATATTGATATGTCATACCAGTTTCCTCAAAATGATCAGCGTGGGGACGACAGGTGGAACCGTTACAAATTATTCACCGCGCTTCTCCATGACCGACATGACAGGGAGCTTTCCAGCCGCTGTTGTTCAAAGTCTCAAGACGATCACTGGCACAGATGGGCCCGCCAGTGTCAATGCCATCGCAGGAGCACAGCCTAATATACCCGCTGGTGCAGCTGGCGCATTCACTCAGCCCTTTAGACTGCAGACTGGCCCAATCAGATATGCGCCTATGCAGACACATCCTCCGACAAAGATTACCAAGAAGAATAAGACGCCGTTGAATCCTACTAGCCCTTACAAAGTCGCAACGACCTTCCTGCCGCTAGGCAAGATACAGACGACCATCACACAGTCCATCACCTGGACCTTTTCTCAGGCGGAACATACGGTTAGTGAGACACTTTGATGCCATCTCGATATACTATACGGAACTAATGTGTCATACAGGTTGCCGCAGCGGCCCAGCCCACAGATCCTATGCAAAGATTCTTGAACAGATGGAAGGACTAAAGCCGAGGATTCATAACAAGCATTAGATATATTAGAGACGAGCCTATATTTGTTTGGCATGATAGATTACCTCGCATGTCGTTACCAGATTATACTTGGAGTTATTAAGCGGGCATAGATATGCTATACAGCGCAGGCGATCGCATTTGGAATGGCGTTTGTATAAT